CACACACACACACACACACACACACACACACACACACACACACACACACACACACACACACACACAGAGAGAGAGCAGAGCCAGCCGCTGTGGACCATCGAGGCCTTTCCGCCCCTTCCTGCCATGGTTTGCACCGACTCTCTCTCTCTCTCTCGCGCGCGCGCGTGCGCGCTGAGGTGCGAACTCTCATTCAACGCCCATCCACGTCCCTCTGGCCAATGTGACCATCTGCAGCGCCCAATGCCCCGTCTATCTGACCCGTCGGCCCCTTCTCACCTGCCTCCTGCCATTTCGGCCCACCCCGCCCCCGTTGCGCCGTTTCGTTGGCCTCCCCGCCCCGCCCCCCTCGAACCGTTTTGTTACCGTTGTGCGGCGTGCTGCTCGGCCGCTGCCCGCTGGGCCTGTGTGGGCCCATTCTGCCGTTTCCCAACACTGTGGTCGAGGGCTCGCGTGGGATGATCATGCGAGACCCTCTATTTCCTTTAGAGTATTAGAGAAATGATAAGATGATATTGAAATTCCATGCAGCTCTAGGTACGATGTTTGGTTTATCAGAGAGAGGCTGCAATGTAGGCTGCAATGTATCTCTTTTGTGATTTCACTAAGCTATGTTTTTAAGGCCACAATGTTGATCTGAACCATAATATGATCCACGTACTACATTATCGAGTACTAGAGTTTTACCCATTATTGAGATGCATTTGGTGTTCCGGTTGGTTAGCTTTTCCAAAACCGGTTTGAGAAGCAATTGCCACTCATTGTTGTCTTCTGGTCTGTTTTCTGTAGGTAACCTCACACCTACCGGTAGGCTGTAGCACTCTCATTGGGGGTTTTCAGGGGGAGCCATTTTGATTATTGGAAGTTCTGGAGGCCCAACTCCTTGGTGATTAATCTACCAAGCCATACTCTTGCTTCCCCCGTTGATGGGCATATCTACCATCAACTGGAGGCCATAACTTCTTTGGGAAGGAGTCAAGAACTGGATGGCCGGGGGGCGTGTGCACAGGGCCCTAAAGATATCTCCTTCTGCTGCTGAACAGAGTAATAAAAGAAGAATTTCAAAGGAGATATCTTTAGGGCCCTGCGCACACGCCCCCTATCCAGGTCTTGACTCCTTCCCAAAGAAGTTCTGGCTGCAGTTCTGATTGATTTTTGGGAGCTAGGACATCATTAATGAATCGTGTATACAAACCTTGGTCCGGTATAGATACAGTTATGATGGGGGATTATGTTTTGGGCAAGAAGGTAATAGTTGGCTTTAGCAGCAACAACGTGTTCTGCATTGACTTTCATGTATTGTACTTACAGATCCACAGAAAATCAAGAAAAAGGAGATGCAAAATGATGTCGCTTGACACATACAAACTTACTTTAGTTGAATATATTGTTCTCTATTCCTCCCTTCACCTCCCCCCTCTTCCCCCCCCCCCTTTTCCTCTTTTTTATTTTGGGTGCAGGAATTTGCCAAGAAGTATGATCTCCCATACGTCTTGCTGTCCGATGAGGGTGGAGAGGTCAGTTTTCAGATTTCAAATTGTTAACTTCCAAACTGCGTGCCTTTTTTCTGTAAATGATATCCACTTGTCCTCTAACCCCCCACATAACCCCACCGTATGGTTCCTACTCTCCGGCCCAGAGTAGTACCCTCCCTGGACAGACAATGATCCCTTTTTAACCTCGACCCTCTCCCGCCCCCAACATCCTACCCAAGGAATCGCCCGCCTCGACCATCACGGCCTCCACTTGTCCTCTAACTCCCCCACCCGCCCACCATCTGGTTCCTATTCTTCGGCCTAGAGTAGCACCCTCCCTGCAAAGAGAGTGATCCCTTTTGTCCCCCATATGCCCCCGCTCTATCCTACCCAAGGAATCGCCCACATCGACCGTCAAGGTTTCCACATGACATTGTCCACTAACGCTCACCCCATCCATCTCGTTCCTACCGTCCGACCTGGAGTAGAACGCTCCCTGGCCTGACAGTGATTCCCTTAACACTCTTGCCCCTATATGCGGAACAAACCCTCCATTCGACCCTGCAGTGCAAGGACATCAACCCCCCCCCCCCCCCCC